GACTCCCCTACGTATTATTTAAGTTTTTCTTTTTATTTATCGTTTATATTTACATATAAAAGCGTATACACTCCTTCTTGCATAAAAAGTATTATAGCTACACTTATCCTGTTGTTGACTCACTAGGCTTAAGCCTAACACTTTTCTTGACTTGGTTGCTTAGCAGGTTCTTTTAGCGGTGGGGTATCGAAGGGTTGAGAATTATGGTCGTTGGTAAAGGTCATTTTGGGGTCAGAACACTTGACGGTTCGAGCGTTGCTATTTTGGTTAAATTTTGTTTTTGTTGGAGGCGGTAGAAATACCCGTTCCTAATCTAGGCATAGAAATGTTTAGATTATTAGGTTGTTAATTTTCGTTTCATTTTTTTATTTTGTAAACGCTTTACTTCTCCCCTTTGTTGGGTGATCTACCTTTTAAATTGTTAAATATATTTTTATTTTTTAGGGTGTTTCAAGCAGGGTGTTACAGTTATGGATGTCCAACAATCAGAGGTCAAACAAATTCTACCAGGAGCACAAATTAAAGCATCTTTTATTTTCAACTTTTCCATCCTATATGATATGTGTTGAGAATTCAACATATAATGCACTCATTTTACGCCTTATTAGTTAAAATTAGTTTTCTTTCATTCCTACTTTGAGTCATTTTGATTAATTTCTTTATACCTTTATTATTATGGAGCTAAAATATTATGGTTAACTTGTTGGGACTCAAAGATACAAGCTAATGGAAATTTTTTTGTTAAACAGCTTGATGCTACAGCATTACAGCAACAGTCACCCGATACGTGCTAGGCTTTACGAGGAGCTTAACGATTAAGCCGCTGCCTTTTGGATGCTTACCGGAAGACAACTGGAAATAGCTGGAAGACTTTTTAAAATCTGGGATTTTTGACTTTCTATGCAATCTTGTACTTTGGATCCCATTTGTTTAACCTTTGGACATTAACTTATGGTTAATATTTTTGTTGTGTAGTTCCAACGTTTGTGTATAAAAGGGGGGCTTGGCCTTGTGTTTCCACACGCTTGATACTCACATTTCTAAGAGCAAATCAGCTTGTTAGGGCTGATTTGTGAGAATCCTTTGAGAAATCAAGTTCTTGAATTTGAAGCTTTCATCTTTAATTCTTGTCTTTTAATTTTTTGTTCTTTATTTTATGTTCTTTTACATTTATTGTTATTTACTTTCCGTTATTTAATTTCCGCAATTTACATTTCCGTCATTTACTTTCTCGTTATTTATTTTCTCGTCATTTACTTTACACAATTTACGTTTATGTNTTTCCGTTATTTAATTTCCGCAATTTACATTTCCGTCATTTACTTTCTCGTTATTTATTTTCTCGTCATTTACTTTACACAATTTACGTTTATGTCTTTATTTTCCGTCATTTATTTTTCTTGTAATTTACTTTCCGTTATGAGTAGCTAAGCTTTTATAGCTTGGRTGTGAGACGGAAAGGTGAGATTTTCAAACCAAATGAAAGTAGCTAAGTGTTTTCGTAAACGACGTTCCATTGTTTCATTCGTGTTTTTATAAAAACCAAGCACACTTCTTGACGAGTTGATCACTTCGAAAGTGTTAAAGTGCCATGGACTTAGAGATAAGCCATTGATAAGCACGTCAACTTGAATGACATAAGAGGTAGACTTGAGAAAGTTGCCGACAAGGAGACTTGTCATTTATGTTTTTCAAAACTTARCTCCCGACGGGTTGGTCACTCTTCGAAAGTGTCAAAGTATGATAGATTCAGAGATGAACTATCTAGAACACACGCCAACTCGAATGATATGGGAATTGACTCGAGAGAGTGATTTTTTAACAAAGAGATTTGTTTATCCATATATTTTGAGAACACCATTTTGTCACTATCCCTGGTCCGGACACCACATAGAGATATGGGTGGAAAGCTATAATATAGTGCAATGGTGAAGTCCGAGAGGAATGCCTTCAAAATAGATGGTGGAACTTAGTTTCGAAACACTGCTTGCTGTAGCATTCCTATAGCATTTGGCTGCTGGAATTTGTGTTTGAGTCTCACCTTAAGTCTTACACCCTTGCTTCCTTTTTGTATTCTGTATTATGTTTTGATTCACCTTACAATCAAACAAAAGTCTTCAAAATCGTCATCTGAAATCATCTCTTTCATTGGACTCTAATTTAACTTTGGCTACAATCTCTATGGACGATAATCCGATACTTGTACCACTTTATTACTTGGAAAGACGACGTTGGGCCGTATTGTATACTTGCTTTATGGCCCAATTTCATTAAGTCTAAAGGTGTGAAATATAACCGATCACTATACATCTTCAAAATATCAGCCTTTATGGTATTCCTTGAAACAACTTTCACTTCAGGATTTAAATAAGTGAAACACTTCCTAATTCCCTCATATTCTGCAATTTGAAATGGCAATTCATGTTTCACAACAGCACTAGGTAATAGCTCACGAAAATTATTAGGGTTAAAATCAGGGAGCCTACTATGAACCACCACTACCACCATAATCCAACACCATATGTCCAATATCCTTAAATCGACTTTTTTTTGCAATTTCTAATATGGCGTTTCAAATTCCCGGTACCCATTCTAGTTTCAACATTATAAACCTGACTACACTGTTTACATTTACAATATAACTCACCATTTTCATCAGGATCCATAAAATCAAAGCTATTCCATACCTCATATGTAAGTTTTCTTTAACGTTTGAATTCCACACCAGATTTGTTTGGTTTTAATTGGTTAATCGGTTTCTTCTCGTTGTTCTTTGACGGAGGTGGAGGACTTTGTAGATCATCTCCTTTCGAAATCTCAACCATATTACTAGTATTAATCACTGAAATAAAACACAAAAGTATTAATCAATAATCATTGAAATAGTAGAGTCAACATGAAAATGTCAGAAACCATGCATCTGTCATACTCCATTTGGTGTGAAAAATTAATAGTTGTAAAGATCTATTATGAGAAAGAACATCAATGAATAATAAACAGGAGAAAGGGAGAAGAAATGGAATGGCGCAATTCTAATTTTTGCAGGCTGGTATATAACATAAAGAAAGAAGGTCAAATGTTAATAGTGAGGACATTATTTGGCCTAGATTGACTTAACCCAATGCATATCGATGTTATTCTGAATGGTTTCTGTTTTCAACTTGATGTATATATAGATATGGCCTTCCAAAAAACATGTCTCTATTGATATACTAGCGGGCCAAGAAAACGAAAGGAAAGGTGTGCAAGTTGGAAAAGGAATTTTATGGGTTTAAACCATCTCCAAGGACTTGGTTCAACTCTAGCTTTTC